ACATTTGAGATCTTAAAATCATACTCGCAGAGTAGTTAGAATCCTGAATTTTCTCACAGGGTAAAATCGATTTAGTGAAAAAATTGTTTTTGACAAATTTTACTTTTTTTACTCGATTTTTCAGCAGTTTTTCCTCACGCCTAGAAAAACTGTGGAGAAGACAAATATAACGTTTGAGAAATATTTACATGTATTTTTGATAAACTTTCTGGGTCAAACTTTTGAACTACCCAAAAAACAGTTTACAAAAAAAAAAAAAATAAAATAAATATTTATTTTTATAACCATTTTATGGTTTATTTATTTTTAATGTAATAACGTAGTATCGGATAGGGATAACTGGAGGCAAGGATGTATATTGAGATGATTCTAGTGCCCTAGATTACCAAAAAAGAAGAAGAAATATAATAACACCGACTATTAGATGTATTAGTAGAATTATTGTTTGAAAATATGTGATTTATTTTATTTTTGTTGTGTTAAAAATTCTAGATAGGCTTAGTGCTCTATGCCCCGTACGTATTAAAAAAAATTAAAATTAAAATGATGCCATTGTTTCAAAAGGTATTTCATAATACAATTTTTTTAGATGAAACAGAAAAGTTACATCACATTACATTTTTTAATTTTTAACAATAATTTATTGTAGAATTTTATGTCAAATGACTAATGGAATAACTATTTAGGAATTTATTTTTTATTTTGAACATAGTTGCAGTGACAAGAAGAATAAGGATAATGTTTAAAAATCAAACGCACGATTTAATTTTCAATAAGTCTGCTATATATTTGTATTTAAATTAAAACAATTATGTATTAATAATATTGTCACAGACGTACTGGTACTAGCTGATGATTAGGTGTACAATTAGGTAGGTATTAACTATTAATAATAATAATATTTATAATAATTTTAATAATATTGAAAATAATTATTATCTAAAAACATATGCACTAGTATAATATGCTCAAGTTATACAATATTAATAATAATAATAATAATAATAATAATAATAATAATAATAATTGACTATAAGAGGGACTGGAGACTTATGTAGGTCAATTTATGGTCAACCATAAAAAAAAAAAATTTAAACTTTTATACTATACCAGCTAATAAGTAGATTTTAAAATATGTGAAATACATTTTCTAGGTTACAAATTAAAACATAGTTTCACACACACACACAGTTAATCATTAGTGATATATAGTTTAAAAAAAAATTGTAGCGTATAATTATTAATAATAATAATAATAATAATAATAATAATAATAATGTATAATTAATTAACAACACAGGTATTCAACGATTATTATATTATTGCACAACATGAAAAGCATTTAGTCATTTGCTCACTGTATGAATATATAATATACATACAATTAATAAAAAAAAATACATATGCCATTATTGATGAAACATTACTTTGCAATATCAGGAATATTTGGTAATATAATAATCGTGTGGTCACTAATCGATTAATTATTTAACCTAATGTAATAACCATCAGTGTGAACTCATCGAGGAGTTTCATCAAACATCCGCATATAATTAAATGCGGAAATACAGATGGCTATTACATTCTTTGGGGGTAGGAGGAGCTCTAAAAATTTCATAATAAACACAATACCATAACAGGTGTCGAACTGTTTAATATGATCACTTAATTATAAATAAAACGTTTAAAAATTCAACAAAATTATATTATACGTAACATATTAAATTTTAAATCTACGTCATATTTTTGGCTACAACTGGTTTTAGTGTTTCATTTATCCTCATTCAAATTTCGGCAAACAAAAATCCTAATCATATTTTGGATTCAACATTAGACGTTTAAGACATAAGATTAGGTACATCTAATTGGCTATCGCTAATAAATTAGTTGAGTTTAACTCGGAACTGTTTCATTTTCGAATAACTGTCTCGAACAACGATGGTGACGAAGGAGGTTTAGTGGTGGCTCCTACACCTTATCAACATTAGTAAAAATAAATATATTTACTTAATACAAATAATAATAATAATAATAAAACCGTATACATTATTGGCTAGTTGGAACATTGTAATTTAATATTGTGCGATTGACGAGGAAAATTAATAAAAATATATTTTAGGTAAATAGCATAACGTAAACGACTGTACGATGATGCCAACAAATGCGGAGGTTAATTTGAATGATTTTAGTTAAAAATTTGTTCATCGGAGAGACAAAATATAAATAAATACAGTCCAGTTAAATTTAATTAGAATATTGTCAAAATATCTACTTTTCTGAGATCTACGTGGAAAAAATTAAATTAAATAAAATTGCACAAAACAATTAAATGTTAAAAAAATTATTTATACATATAATCTTATATTTTAATTTTTCGTTATGTTTGGTCGAGTTTAAAGAAAACTAGAGATCTTACAACCAAATACTAAACATTTTAAACAAATATAAGATTCATAGACTAACATAATTTTGGCTTAGCACCGTATTATCATCATAATTTGTGTTTTTCTTATGCATTTCTCTAGTTAAAAAAACGAATAATAAATTAATCTCACTACTTACTAAGAAAAAAAAAAATATAATAGCCATTATATAATAAACAAATTTGGTCATAACTACTACATTATAGGATTTAACTAAAGAAAGTGCGAGGGAATACAATATTGAAAAACAATAAAGATTGCTCGGAAAGAATATATACGTAAAATATATTCTACGGACTGCAACAAACAGTTACGAATTACGATTCAGATAACTGGGCTAGGTAATAATCGATTGTATAATATTTGTTTTTTTTTTGAAATACTAATGGAATGCGTTGTGTACGTCGATCGATGCGGTGGCGTGTGCGCAAGCAGTAGACGCCGTTCATAAAACGTGTACACGGTATAATGATCATCATAGGCACACAAATGTAGGTATACGAATAAATATTAACAATAATATATATATAAATAAAACGACTCGAGAGGGCGGTGTTATTACTCGGAGAATAATAATGTACAAATATAAATCAAACAAACAAGTAAGATTTGTAAAAAGAAAAAAAATACTTAATTGGTAAAATTAACTAAAATCACTTGGAAAACTATACGTCAGTATATAATATGTATAATAACTCATAAACATCGATCGTAACTATTATAACATATTACATAATAAAACATTACGTACTTCTAAAACGATAACGCGGGGTATATTATATTACACGAGTTTTTTAAAAACTTTTTTTCGATTTTTACGCGCGTGGAAGACGACTATGATATTTGTTGGCTGAGCGTTGTAATGCGTAAAATTTACTATCATTATAAATGTACCGACTGTACAAATTGCTATGTATTCACTCTACTTTTTATTTCTAAAGTAGTTTGTTTTAAATCTAATATAGAAAAAATGTTATCGACAATATTACACAAATGTGTATAATACAAACAATATATATATATATATATATATATAAACACGTTAAGTACACGGCCGATTGTACTCTAGACTGTTGACTTGGTCTTGTTGGCCAAACCGTACGTCGACGGTTGTTTCAGGTCGTCGGTGGTGGCGGTGCCGGTATGTCGATTGCACGATTGCCGCCGACCGTCGTATCCCGCGTCAAGCCGCAGCCGAGTGCATGCCCATCGGACCTGTGAAATTCCGTAAGAGTCAAAATGAGAAATCGGCTTATTATTGAGGCCACGCATCACCGTGTATGATTAGTGCACGATTCTTCTATCAAAGACCAACTCGTTTTTCGATCGATTTATTATATTTTGTGTTTGCGAACGAATGGACTTAACAAAACAATTATTATTTATATCATTATACTTTTTTTAAATAATAACATAATTCATTTGAAAAATGTCATCTGAGGCAGAAGGTTTTTTTTTTAGAAATGTGAATAAAAATTAATTTATAAGTATAAGCCGAATATCAAACCGGTATAGTTTATAAGTTTTTACAATTGTTTAGATGGAAGTAGTACACCAGTATCACGTTCCACTAAACATATTCCTTCACGTTACCATTCACGTACATTTTAGTCTTTATGTACACATAAACGATTAAGATCTGGTTTGATATCCAAATTATATGTATCAACCTTTTCAGAGTAAATATTATGCATCTTAACCAAAGATAAACATATAAATAGCCATTTAAAAATAAAAAGCAAATAGTTAATAGTAATATAACTTATTACGAAAATAAATGGGAAAATTTTTTAAAATATTTTGTGTAACAACATACAGCTTAAAGAGACGTGCTAGAAATGTTTTCGGAGGGAATAGGTGAGGGAAGGTTCAATCAAAAAAACAATACAAGCAAAGCAATATTTTTTTTCTAAATTTGTTATAATTTCGGGTGGGGGTTTGAACACCTAAAACTATCCTCTAGGCACGCTCTTGGAAGCTTATATAAGTATTCATTATAATTATTATTCTTGGGAAATGCATATATAAATATATACAGAGTGTTCCTGAAATTATTGAGGAAACTAGTATACACTCTTTGGAGATGCCAAATGTTTACGGGGGAAATCGTCTAGTTGATTTTTTATTTATTTATTATTATTATTTTAATTTTTTTTTTTTTTTTTAATCAACGATTATTTTTTTTATTATTACAGAAGCGTTTCGTATCAAAAGGATCAAATCGTCATTTTTATTATTATTACTAGTATTGTGTAACACTAACCTAGATTTTATCTTATTATATTTGGAACATTATTTGGAATCTAAAAATGAATATTTATAAGATATTTCTTGCTAATTTTTGACGTGAAACAATATGTAACATCGATTTTGGGATTGTCACGCGTTTTTCACGCTAGAGTCGCCAGGATCAAAAGATATGGAGTGACATATCGATTTGTATCAGAATTCTGCAAAATAAACAGAGGTGAAATTTATTGGTTGATATTTCACATATCTGATTAATTAACACGGTTTTTATTGAAAAACAATCATAATTAAACAACATTTATTTGAAATTCATTGAAAACCGTATTAATCAATCAAATATATGAAGTAACAACAAATAGATTTCACCTTTGCTTATATTCCCAAAATTGATGTTACATATCGATTCACGTCGAACATTTGCAAGAAAAATCTTTACAAATATTCATTTTTTAGATTCCAAATAATGTTTAAAGGATAATAAGATAAAACCAAGGTTTTGAAGATAGAAAAAAAACAGCAAAACATTCTTCATTTGGCTACTCCAAAGAGTACGCGTATACTACCATTTCAGGAACACCCTGTATATACATTTATTTAAAAAATTTTCATAAAAATAATACATTAAGTGACCGAGAAATATATGCCTTTGATAGAATAATCGTTTTGCATACATCGTTTATTATTGTGTACAGGTAAGGAATGAAATAATGAAAAAAACATATTCTATACAAACATACCTACGTTCATTGTGCAGAATTGAGGATTCTGTTGCATGTAATCAATGTTCCACTAGAAAAACGCGTCATTCGAAAAAAAAAAAGCGATTAGTACAATTTTCTATATTAAGTATAATGATTTGTTATCCAATTTAAGAAATATATATTTTCGTGTACCATACAATAGTATACCGTTCGAAGACGTTAACATTTTACATTAAAATTTCAAAACTTATGACACACCTATACAGTCCCAAAGGGATTGTATCATTGTTTACTGGGTTTTTAATGACTACGGAGCGATAACATCTAATTTCAGCGAGATTTAAAACATATGCTATATTTTTAAAATAATTTGAAATTTTTATACGTGCCAACATAAGAATCAACTTTTATTTTTTAAATGGCAACTACTATAGTTTTTAACGGATTCAGGCGGTGCTTGTTTGTTTGTTAACATCGAACCGTATATTTGAATTTAACGCTTTGCAAGTTACGACCCTCTAAAGTTTAGTAAATCGAAAATTAGTTCGTATCAGTGATAAGCTACTTTATTAGAACTTCTTTTTTTGAACGATATATATTTGTTACTCGAGTCCTGACATATTTCGACTAGGGCATTTACCTCGGATACGGAGTGTATAAGATTGCACATGTCCACGGGCGGCGGGGGCGCCATTGGCGGCGGAGTGCCCTGCATGATGAGTAAAGCGGGCGGTTGGTGTTGTGGTGATATGGGAGGCGACGGGTACGGCCAGTAAATAATTGGCTGCGGGTACGGAGCGCCCAGTGACGGTGGCGGTTGGTGACCGATCAACGGTGGAGGTCCTGAGAACGGAGAAAAGTTCGATGTCGGTGGTGGGAATGGCGGCGAAGACATCAGAGGTCCACCTGTGTAGATTATACAATGGAAGGGTTATTAGCAGGGTTAAAAATACATAGTATACAATACGATAAGCGCACTAAATGTAAATAAATAAATAAATAAATAAATAAATGTACGAATAATTATAGTATAATAAGCGTGGAAAAGGGATGACAGAGGATGACTGTGTATATATATATGAGGACGTTGATGATGACGATGATGATGATGATGATGATGATGATGATAAAGATAATTATGGTAATTATATTAAGTAACATACGCCAATCTCCTCGGACTTTGAAAGCGAAAGGAAGTGAAAAAAGCAATTAAAAAACGTATATTATTATAAATAAATAAAAAAAAATATATATATATAAATAAGTTTAAACGGACTCACCAGAAAGATTAACACCACCAATCACCAGCAACCAATATATAATTTTTGCTTAGATATTTATATATACGCCCCGTGCGCTAAATTTATTTACCACTATGTGAACACCGTTTAGTTAAATCTAGTACGTAATTTTGTAACGAGAAAAATATAATAAAATAATAATCAAAGCCATTCAAAAATTCTAAATAAAAAAAACAAAAAAAAAAAATGATAAAATAATAAAATAAGTTATACAAATGTAGTATAATTTAAGCGAATGATTTTTTTTTTTTTGTTGTCCGTCGTCCATAATACAATACAATCGTGGATCCGCACATCCGTCGCGTGTCCATTTATACGACCACGACAACCACGATAACGACGAGACGACGTGTGAAGCGTCTTCTCTATTAGAATAAGCAAATATGTTGTTAAAAATAAAAATAATCAAATAATCTGATTATTAAATTACTGTTAGACGCCGGTCCGTCGGAGACGCCGTCCGATCACCATAAGATATAAAATATACCCTCGCGCATTTGCAACACCGCGCGCCCTGAACGTTGCGCGATCACCTGTTGCAAAGGTTGTTAGAGGAGGTCTAAAAAGCTACAGATGGTTATATTATATTATCGTAAAAATAAGTGTGTAACGCCACCTCACGACACGCATAGCATCGCGGGGTCCCACGTTTTGTATTTAAGTGATAAGAGAACATCTCAGTGGGTACCATTTAAGATTCGTATACGAGTTTATTTTACAAGTGTTAAATCTAAGATGGGTCGATTCTTCGTTTCCGAGGGTCATACCAAAAAAATGGTTTCGGGTCATTCCAAAACTAGCCTAACAGCTCTATACAATGCAAATTTTAAAAATATTGAAATAAGTTTAACAAAAAAAAAAAAAAAATTGAGAGGAAGTGCATGATAATGCATACGTCTATAAATTAATTTGACATAGAGTCATGTAAATAAATAATCTGCTTTATTGGAAAGGGAACAATTGTGCACCCATGCATCCCCATAATAATCAAAAATGGTACCCCTGCTGAGCTCTCTGCACCGGGGCCAGAGGTCTTCTCGCAAACCGAGTGGTAACAACAGTATAGTTATTAAGTAACTAGTAATATACAGTTGTAGACAATAGTAATAATAGTACAATGTAAGACTATCAAACTGCATTTCCAAACACCAACAGACAAATGTTTTTTTTTTTTACACGTTATACACGCACCCAATGCCATATACCCGTCTTTCAAGCTCACCTATTTACGTCTGGCACCACTTTTTTTTAATCTACATGCATGTGTATGTGTGAGTGTTTGTGTGTGTGTGTGTGTGTGTGTGTGTGTGTGTGTGTAAAGAAGTTTGGAGGAAATAATATTGGCGCTGATCATCTAATCGCTATTTTTTTTTTCTAATATTACGAATCGGTATAAAATTTTTTTCAGTGGTACAAAAGATGACCAGAAAAGGGCTTATGTATACTAAAATGTTTAAAAATAGTAAGACCCGTTTCCTACAAAACCCAAATATAATACGAGGAACAATACTCATTTGATTCGAGAGCGGAGTCTGTTCTCAGTTGAGAAAAAAAAACTTAAATCAATCTACCATAATAATTTCTCACACACAATATCACCAAAAGCAAGAAACCATATTCGGATCCTGAGACACATTTCACTCCGAATGCAAATAAGCTGGTAAAAAATTTGGAACTATACCACAATTTTAAACAAGTACGTGAAAAAAAGGATAAAATAATAATGATATATTTAAATACATGTTCAAGGAGAAAAAAATTCAAAGGAAGAAAACCTTTGCTGGTTTTTCGTCCTTTAATACCGTATATAAATATAAGTAGACTCTGGGTCTACAATGTGAACTAGAAAGTTAAAGAGATGAAAAAGCAGAATAAAACATACGACTTCAACACCAAATTCCGTTAGGCAATATTTCGATATATTTTATATTAATATTAATATATAAAAAATAATTTTTCTATTATTATGTTTATTATTAATATTATTAAAAATGCATAACACATAAAAAACGGATCAATAAAAGGTTTGTACACATTTCATACTTGCTATCTAAATACAGCATTTATTAAATATTTAGTAGCACACAAATCGCAAGATTCCGCTACCATAAATTTATTTCTGTCCACACGGTCACTGAATCTCGGGGATAGAGTCCGCTGTTCTGTTCAAATTTATCAGGATAAATAAAATCAACAATTATACGAATGTCATGCAGTGAAAAATTATCGTACACGACGCAAGTGTGAAATATTTAAGAACGATTCAAATTTTGAAAAAAAACAATACATGCACGCTTAATTACAAAACACGGTATTAATTTTAAACGCCTTCGACGCTAAAGTTATTAAGGAAATCATATAATATTTTATTGTCATAAGTATCATGCACGGACAAGTTTCACTATAATGTAGTGTATTGATAACAATAATTATAATTATAAATTCACTCAAAAATTTTGAACAGAACAACGACAAAAGTGCTAACAATGATAAGAATAATAAAATTATGATCATGCAAAAAAAAAAAAAAAACACCAAGCTTAAACCTACCCCAGAACCATTTTGCAACGATGTTTATTATTATTAATCGTGGTCGTAGATTTTACGATTTCGTAGTATATAATTAATTTTTTCAATCACCGTAAACGTGATTTAACCACATGAAGCTTTTTTTAAAAAAAAATATATAATATCTAAGCGAAAAACAATCCCACAATATGTATGAAACAGATTAATAAAGAAGAAATAAATTTATCAATAGCGAAAGCCTGAGACTTTTGAACAAAACATAACTGGTGTTAATTTTATAAATAAAAAGTAAAATTATTTAACTACTTAACTTACAAACATCTAAAGTCTAAAAGTGCCTAAATAACTAAATAAAAAAAAAAAAAAAAAAATTAAAGTAATAACCTAATGATATTACATTGTATCAAATGATATGATCAAAATAAGTTTAAAGCTAAACACATCAGGTTAGTCCTAGTTAAGCAAAAACAAAAATAATAATAATAATAGGTTAACAGGGCCTATAAAACTTTAAGCAGTGAAAAACGAAAATAAATAACAAATATTCCTAACAAAAATAAGATATTAAAAGTTATATAAAATGGAATTTTTCGAAGTCAAAAGGAATGTTTGGGTAAAAATATTTTACGATTTTAGTGAGATGTACAGTCACAAAGTATGTGATTCCTAATCTAACGAAATCCATGAGTTAATTGGAAAACAACATTTAAGTACAAATTAGTAATTTAAAATTAGTCTTAAGATCTATTAATAGTAACTTAAAGTTAAAAATTAATTTACAAAATTCGTTCAGTACCCTGTAAATGATTAAAGCTCGATTGCTTTAAGTACGTTTTGTGCAGTCAGTATTATATATAGATGAATATGCATATATATAATATGTATATATATATATATAATAATAATATAATAATAATAATAATGGTATAATGTAGAAAATATAATCCAGAGGACGGACATTGTTAAAAAAAAAATAAAACAAATTGTTGTGTAACCATTTACCACTAACCATGTACCCGGTTATAAGCTCTAATAACCAAACTAACAGCAACAAACTAACAGTAGAGGTAGGGGCAAAAGGGTGGCGGAAAGAAGTTAAATGGTATAAAACTGCGCAGGGTGTTGTAAATAAGGAGATGATGCGGCCATGGCAGCTGCTGCTGCCGCGGCGGCAGCCGCATTAGGAGCTTGATTCATTGAAAACATAGGCCCAGGAGCTGAAGCAGATGGTGGTGCAAACTGTCGTTTATTGGAACTTTCAGCACCACCGGGAAATGCTTGTTGCCATGAACGTTTTTGTGGCGAATTAGCCGCTGACGGCATGACAAATTGATTACCAGCAGCCGAAACTGGCACAAAAGACTTAGTGGTCATGTTATGTGGAAATCGTGGCATGTTAAAGTACATAAATTGTGAAGCAGCTGCATTTTTAGCCAGGTAGTTCTGGGCACTATTATCCAATAATTGTTGAGCTGCATTGGGAGATAAAATCGATTGAATATTTGGCTGTTGAGCCATACCATTATTCATATCTTGTTGCTGTTTGGTAAGCAGAGCAAGGTTGATCAACTGATTATGTTGAGCTAGCTGATACAACCATGATTCTTGTTGTTGCTGTTGCTGTTGTTGTTGTTGAGCAGCTGCCACAGCCGCACGTTGGAGGGCTAGGGATTGGGCTAAATTTTGTGCGTAAACTGACATTGGATCCCAAGCGGGCATTAGGGCAGGGACAGGGTTACCAGGATTAGCCACCTGGTTGGCGGTTATTAGAGGCTGTGCAGGTAACATACCAGGTGGTGATAACAGCGATTTGGCAGCTACTGGGGATAAAGCTCCTGTAGCAGCTCCTCCGCCAGTCAACACAAGGTTCATATCTTCACCAGAACACTGGAAAACTTCAATATACCGTTGTTTTTTACCAAAAGACATGTAATTGTGGTGTTTAGCCATAGCTGCTTGAGCAGCACTGCCTTCATTGTTCATTTGAATAAATGCTTCACCAGATGCATGACCCTAAGGAATACCATACCAAATTAAAATCATAAACTTAAAAAAAGATCAAGCACGTGCATACAGACAGGCAATACAGAACATATAACAATTTTATTAGATGGTTATTTTTATTTTAGTCCAAAGCAAAGCATGGATTTACATAGCTAAATTAAATTAAATCTGTATACTTACTATAAAATAATATTATTAATGTTAATTAAATATGTTTCCATAATACTTACCACAGAGTTGTAAACCATGTGTACTCCTTGGAATACAATATTTTTGGAATGTTCTCCAAGGAACTCAAGTATATGTTCTACATTTGCTTCGTATGGTAGTCCACGTAAGCGTATACAGTCTTTTCGTGTGCCACTAGTGATAACATGTTGAGGCAATGGTAGCAATGGCACATGCCCAAGAAGGGCAGTAGGCGAATTATTCATACCAGCTGTTGTTGTAACTGGTGTTGTGATGTTACCATTGCTATCACTAGCTGTTGATCGCACAGTTGGATCCATTGCACGATTCAAAACCTTAGAAAAATAAATGTATGATTACATTACATTGTAAAAAAATAATCAAAACAAAATTATTGTGTTTACATAAGAATGTATAGAAATTAAAGCAGTTATTTTATTTTTAAAATTAAACTAAAACAAAAAAAAATGAATCCATAAATTTAAAAATTTGTATTTGTATACATTTTATTAAATAATTTGTTGTAATAAAATAAGTAACCCAATCAAAAACAATTTCTTAAATATAATTTATGATAGTCTGAATACAACAGTATTCAGACTATTATAAATGTATATACAAATGTGTAATGCATCTTCATTGGGTATTTTCTTGTTGTTTGGCAACAATTTTTTTTGTAAATTAAATCTATTATATTTTTTCAACAATCAATAATTTAGAACATTTATTTGAATGTTAAAAATTTAGTTTTTAAAATAATATTCTTAATTATTTTTGGTAGGTACTAAGTTCAAAAACTCAATTCTATGAATCTTAAGTTTTTTTAATTGTATAATGTGTATAGTATATCATCAATATTAAGAAATATAATAATTTTAGAATAATAACTAAATTCTTACTTGTTGAACTTCAGCTGTTGTGCTTCGAAATAATTCAATATACCTTGTACCTATAAGGTCCCTGTGTTTACTAAGTGCTTTAGGAGCATCTTCTTCATCAGCAAAAAGTACAAATGCATCACCAGTTGCACGCCCATCAAGTTTTTTAACAAATAAAACACCATCTTCGCCATCCATTACTGAACAAGTTTGCTCACCATTTTCAAAGAAAGTAATCTTATGCAAAAAAAAAAAAAAAAAATTAGTTAATAATTTATAATACTACAATAATAGTATTAATAATTATTATTTTAACATACAACATCTTTGGCTGAACAATCATAAGGTAAACCCCTCATGCGTACAATTACTTGAGCACCCTTGGTCAGAAAAGCTTGTGCCTCACTGCTATTACCTGTAAAAATATAATTTGAGTTACAATAATGAAAATATGATCAATTAAATGTATCTATTTATTTATAGCATACCTCCAGCAACATTTATGAAGTCTTCACCATTGGCTTTGTATACTTCAATATAACGGTTACCAATATGGTGCTTATGTCTTTTCATAGCCATGTCTCTGTGCTCTTGGTTTACAAAACGCACAACTGCCTCACCGTTGCGACGACCATGCGCACTTAAACACAATGCCACACCACCTCTGTAATAAAAAAAAAATACAATAATAATTAAATTACTATATATTAAAAAACTTTAAAAATTATAACATTTAATACATACTTGGCAATATTTAGACCGCGGAAAAACTTGGCTATGTCTTGATCAGATGATTGCCACGGAAGACCTCTAGCTCTGACTACACAATTGTTATCTACTTCTTCATTTTTCCAGCTAAAAAAATAAAAATAAACTGTGAAAAAATTATATATTTTAACTAATAAATAAGAACTAAAATAAACATAACTTTATATTGTCATAATAAGAAAATAAGAAAAAAAAATAAAGGTAATAATTTTTTAATGTTTAACTGTTAACTTTATTATTTATAAATTTACCTAATATTTGCACAATGAATAAATAAATAAATAAATAATCTGAATTCCAAATCATAGTTATTTTAGAAAGTAAAATAATAAATTGAATTTAAATCAATTACAATAGTTCTTGAACTACAGAGCAAGTCAAGAATAAAATTTCCGCAGAGAAATGTAATATATTCAGTATAAATCACAATATATTTGTCAGTTAAAATAAAAACAATTTTCATATATGATATTCATCTAATACCAAAAACAATAAGGTAATCCCAATGCACTTAAGATATTTTTGATAAACATAATTTAAATATAAAAATAGTATCCCTTTTGTATTATGGATACCTATACTGAATTACTGAAAAAATAAAACAGATATATGTTGTATAAAATCATTTTTATGTATTTTCATGTAATCCAAGGTCTGATAATATATTTAAATATTCAAGTATAATCGAATACAAATCAAAGCAGTAGTAACAATCGAATCAGTTTGATTTGTTTAAATTATAAATGACATTGTATTTATTTTAAAATATTAATAACTGTGGTAAAATGATTCGTAAAATTGTTGGTAAAAAGAACATACAAGCATAATTTAAAATGTAAACAAATAGGTACGTCATGCACAGAAAAGTCGTCATGTAGTTGATAGTGAATATAAATCGAAAAATATTGCTAACTATGATCTTAACGAACGATGTAATAGGCAATATCTATAATTAGGTACAATCGTATATATTATTACGTTCGAAAAGAGGCATTTGCATCATCCTCCCGTTATTATTATTATAAATTATAAAATATGAACAATTAAAAAAAAAATAAAAAAAAAAAAGTACGGCTAAATGAAAACGAACGTCAGACGACGAACAAGAGCACAAGCACATTAGAACAGTCACCACTTGAACTGAAAATTAATAGCTCAATTACGAAATAAAGACTTAATGGAAAATCTGAATAAGAGGGGATGGCTGTGGAGCATTTTTCAATACTCTCGACCTTTGTGTCGTTCATACACATTACAGTTGTCATCGCAATCAGAAAATTAATTCGGGCACAACATCGAAAGTGTCCTATTAATATTAATAATAATAATAATAATAAATAATAAGCACTAGGCTATTAAAGTCGACGACGCCATGATGAATAATACATAATAAAACAACGCGCGATTATCTACATCGCTCTGTGAAACCAAATTATGATGATTTTTTTTTCTTCAGACTCAGACTTTTATCTAATACGGCCGTGAAAACAACACTCGAACGATAAGAAAACGATATTATAAGTATGTCGTTCAAACTCTCCTCGTGGATGTGTATATTATAATAATTTATAATACGGTACGCGTTTGTCATTTTTTTTTTTCGGGGAGACCTTAACTTCTCGCGCACACGTTTGCCGACGACCGACGTCGGAATGGGAGAAAAAAAAAAACAATAAGCGCGGGGAGAGTACAAGGTATTTTTTTTTTTTTTTTTTTTAATAGTCTGTGCCCATGTCAACAACCACACGCCATAAGTTAAGAGCATTGTGTTCACCTCGCGCGCGCGCGTTTGTATGTGCGTACGTACGCCTTGCGCGTTATGTGCGATACACGCGCACGTTCGGAGAATTAATTTTTACTTATAGTATATTATAATAGACGGGTGACAGAAAAAAAAAAAACCTAAAAATATGTGTAACACACCGTTTATATATAATAAACAGTCGAAATTAGTGTGCGAGCGCTACTGCTGAATGCATGCGCGCGCGCGCACAAACGCAACCGACTCGTCGTCGGCGGCGACAAGGTTCACGATATTATAATAAATTGTTTTTTTTTTTTTTTAGGTATCATAGGTGCATAACACGAAGTAATTAATGTGTAACCTACGCGCACGGTTCGTGCGAACGACAAATCGACGGAGGAAATAATTATTACAATACATAACGGCCGGGAAAAAAATTCATAGAAAAACGTACACGCGCAAGGGGAACAGAACTGGTTCGCGTTTCTTAAATGTTCTCGTCACAATAATAATTTTACGTTCGTTTTCGTCAACTGCACGCGTATATTTCTCCGGGTTCCCGAAACGCATGATAGAAAATATCCATTATGATAACGTTTAATATGTATTTATAAATACTAAATATACAACAATACAGATAAATAAAATAAACAGCGAATTCGTTTGGAAACAATTTGAATGATTCATATGCGTTATCTTTGTTTATCCATTGAAAACGAACGAGCCCACAAAATCGATTTATATTCGATAAACAACAAAAATTATTCAAAATTATATGTGTTTGTATTTTTATGGCCAATTTAAGTAATAATTAAACATACTATTTGAACTGGTTATTTCATAATTTGATTTGACGGTTGTAAAAAACTATAAAACCAAACCGATTGACAATTACAGATATAGATATTTTTATATATAATTTATAAAATAAATAATTAAATTAAATAACAATACTAAGATGTCGATAATAAAATAACATATCCAAAAATTGAAGTTTAGCCATCCATTAGAATATCAATACATTACAATATATTTGCTATGGCTGTTTAATTCGTTGATTAATATCTGATGAGTTATGAAAGTATAAGAGAAGATATACCATGTACTTTATTACTAGCACATAAAAAAAACATTTTCTATTTCAAATAACTGACGTTATCGAATTGGAAACCTGTCAGAATAAAACATATTAAAAGCAATAAATATAATATATCTTTCATTAAAATAATTGTTATCGTAAAAAAATCAATTATAATAAATTTATAAATGAAATGTATGAATAAAACTATAATTTTTACATTTTAATACCGTTTTATAAATTTATAATAACACCACAAAGCATTTTTCAAACATATTATTTTTAAATTGTAAAATTTTACGGCACATTCTTAATATCTATATTTTAATGAATACCAAATACAATTAAGATAATACATAATTTATATTATTGAATTAAAATCGTAAAGTATATTAAACGCTCTTTCAAAAAATAATTAAAATATAATCATCATCAAAAGCGTTTTTGTGAAGTTAGGTGAAAATAATGTATTTTAGATTTTTCAGTTACAATAGACCTGTTTTTAAATAGGTTTATTTAATTTAATTAATCTAATTCACAATGTCCATCGAAAAAAAATTGTAAGTATAGTATCCGTATTGCATTAAGAATCTATAATTTATAACCGATAACCTTAGTGCCCAATCAATATTATTTAATATATATTATACGTACAATGATTAATTTACTGAAATTTTTATACTGTTAATCGGTTATTTATATATACTTTTCGTTTTAATATGCATATATAAACACATATTTATAAATTTTTATTATAAAATACTAAAGGTAATCTAACTGTACTCCAATCTCTACAAATTTATTTTCGAATACATTTCTAACACGATACTATAGAATTAAAAACAATCAATTTTAGAAATATTATACAAGTATAGTAGTAAAAACATACAATACTTAATCGTGTGTAACTGTTCCCCCATCAAACAAAATACGGTTTTATTTTTTTTATACCTATTACCTACTCTTGTGTTTGCGCAGCAGGTATGTTCGTAATGAGACCCGTTTATTGTTCTACAATACATGAAAATATGAAATATTGTCGGAAACGTCCCAGAAATAATTTAAACAGGACAATATTCAAATTAAGTGAGTTATTTCATCCTTTAAAATTAATATTTAATTGTTCTATGACATTATCTGTATAGATATTCATATATTTACTTAAATTCATATAATTTTAAGAATTATTATTTTAATTACTGATGGGAAACTAAAAATGTCAGTAGTGACTACTATTATAATGACACATAAATGCTAACGACGATAAAAGGGTAAAAAAAAAAACGTTAAAAATTCAAAATTAGATTATAAAAAAGTAAGAAACTTTTTTTTTTAAATTGATTATTTAAAATTATTTCAAATACATTTATGAATATTAAACATAATAATATAATTTTCTTTGAAATTAAAGAAAGTTGAAATATAATTAGACTTTCTCACATGTGCTATATTACAGTTAAAATACAAACACATACGCACACAAACAGTTCACATAGTATTATAGCTCCCAGCTATTTTATTATAATAATAAAATAATAATTAAGATAATATATATATATATGCATATATACATGAAATTATAATAGGCGATAGTAGTTATTATAGTTTATCGCAAACAAAACGGAACGACGATAACCTTAGGATTACGAATGGGTGACACACACACAACAAAATATATCGACTGCGGACAAGTTTGTGTAAAGCCACAAGCATGAAAACAATTTATGGGTAGATCTTATGATTTATGATTCCTGTGCAGTTTTTCGATAACGACCAAACGTACGTTGTGTCTGAACAAGGGTGTCAATTTTTGTCCAACAGTTCTGCCGCAACGGACATGTGTTTGAAATCGAATAACAACTAGTTTATAAAAATTATTATCATATACAATAATAGTAACAATTTCTGACCGATACATTTATCAAATTAATCGATCAAGCAGCTGAATAAGTTTGTTTGATGTCGGTTATAATCCATTACTATTATTATTATTATTATTTTTTATATAAAAGATCATAACCTGTATATGTGCATAGTACACACATATAAATATAATATCTGATTACATAAGGAATGGTCACGTAACAAAGTCGAGGATACGCGCGAAAAAAACTCACCGAAGAATACCACATCATTCATCGAAATGAAATGTAAAATATTTTGATATAACATTCAGAATAGCCGATGAGATATTAAGGTTTGAATGAAAATAAGACATAACTTATGTAGCAACGATATACATAAATAAACACTTAAAATACTTAAAATTAATAATCATTAAACTAGCATTTTGAGATCTTAAAACCATGCCTGGGTTATAATATTCATTGATTTAACTGTATCTGATCGGAAATCTGAATTACTAAAAGAAGTATTTGTTTTATTATAATTTATTAGATACAGTTTTTTAACCATAAAGAATAAACATTTAATATTATATACTAAACATACATAATACCAAAAAGAAAATTAATTTTAATAAAAACATTAAAGTCATATGTATTTATAAAATATTTTTACGAAGTATTTTCAAAGGTAATTATTATTAAGAATAATACACAAATGAAACAACTTCTTAATCACGTACAAATAATACGCATACCTATACTCATTCCGCGTGGACAAATTAATATATATTTTTTTATTTTTTTATTTTTCTACAAAAATCGATCGTATTACAACATTATAAGATAATATCACTACTAAAATATACGATTGTCATAACACACACACACAGATATATATATACATGCGTAAATCGTTTATCTCCAGTCTAATAACCCTTTAAATGTAATACATTTTTTTTTTTTTTAATAAGGAATTGGAAACTTAAAACTATGGTATCTAGAAGATAATGTCTGAAATAATTTTATGTTACTCACCAAATACCAGGTTCGAGTTTTAGCTGAACGATTTCCGGCGAATTGAACGTATGGCCTAAAACATAAAAATCATTGTGTTTTAAAAACAATCGACTTATAAACCAATAACACCTAGTGGTTTCTCACACCAGCGTTACCGGCAACACAGCAAAAAACGATTGCGAAACATTTTACAATAATATGCGATGAGCAAATATTGTTCACTGAAATTCGCTGAGCGACCCACTTCCTGGGCATTTACAGCAACGGTGCGGAGGAATGGAAAAAAACGGTACGTTATTTATAAAGACTGTGAAAAAATTACCCGACGACACGTAATATTAGATTACACTTTTTGCGAGAGTGAGAGACACTGTTAAAACTCGATGACTTCATTAAAACATTGGTTAAAATATTCCTGGCCGCGAAGCGGTACGAGAATATTAGAAAACTGTCGTCTCAGCGCATTTATGCGGGGGGTCTCCCCTTACCCACCATAGCACCGAAAAATTAAAACGTACAACGAACGAAACGATCCGTTTTATTTTCTAGTAAAATAGTCTGTTCTATTAGGGATAAACATGCGCGAATGTCGAAGAGTGCAGTAAAAAAAATAAATATTCTTGAAGCTCGAGAGCCGAGAAACTTACCGTCAGCTATGAGCCTTTGGACAATGTTAACCATATCCTTGACCTCAGCTACGTAGAATTGAGAATCAACTTCATGAGTTATTTCTAGATCTGAGACGAATAGTCGGGGGTCAAGGAAACAACCACTTTGTGAGAACGGTACAATAATAATGATATCGCATTAATTATTGATGATATTGTTAAAATAATAATTGGTGGTATCCATATTACGTATTCGATAAATAATACAATTCAATTTAATTATACACACTACATAATCGTACGCGGATCGTATAATTGAATTAAATAAAAACTAAATATGCAAATCGTACGAGCCAACAGGCTACAGGTGTGCTATTATAATGGTGTTAAACATGAGTAGTTGTAAGTTTTTCAGACGTTATTAATGTCGTGTATTTTAATTTCCATGTGTATAAATACAGTAGAAAATATCCATACACATTGAACGAAATAACAATCACTTACCATATAGTATAAGGTTATATTTTAATTTAAATATTTTCTTAACCGTATTCAGTGTACAACGACAATTATTATTATTATTGGTAATCACGTTATTCCGTAAATTAAATTAAATGATACACCATTAATTTAACAATAATTATTATAACCGTTTCGTGGGGTAAACAAATAACTCGTGTCAATAACGCGTATACGCGCTGGTAGTTCATACGAACGCGGTGATCGTGTGTGGAAAAGAGACGTACGTTTGAACACATAAATTACAATAAAGCGATTAACGGCTGCAACACAACCTGTTGCTGATAACAAGTCACCGTCATAGATATAGTGCAGCGTACATTCGAATCGTAACTACACGCACCGCAACTGCACACGTTCGATGGTTATGAGGAGGTACAAGTGCAAAAAAAAAATGTATATAAAAATAAAAAAAGTACAGGCTGTGGTTGTTTTTTGGTTCAATACAGACCGTCGAGAGTAATAAGCATTAAGGATATTGAACTAAATTATTGATACCTGACTTATACACGTACCACCATGTTGTTTTGTTTTTAGAAGTATTCTGTTTTCAAATACACCGATTCACGTAGTGCGATAATGATTTCAAAACATATTTAAAATTCTCTTGAAGTTAGTTCGAAATCAAATTTGCAATAATTTTATTTTTGTTCAAATCGTATAATCATTTATTTAGACCGTTTTTTGATTTTGATTACGGTACAATTTTAAAAACCAAAACCACTGGATAAACAAATTACCACTTCCAGTTTTCATAAAGATTTACTTTTACGTTTTAAAATTGTTAAATAACAGAAAATTACCAAAAATAACATTTCACAATAAATAGTATTGTGCATCTGACACAAATAAAAACTCAAGAATGACAAACAAAATGTTTCATAAAAATAACACATATTTCATTTAGTTAATATTTTTAATGATATCGTTCTCTATCGTAAAGAGTTTGTATATCATAGCTTACTGTAGGCGACATTGATTATTTTTAATTTTAAAAATGTATAATGTATACCAATCAACGCGATACATATGGATAGGATTTATCGAGCGACGGAGTTGTACTATGTTAAAAAAGATTATTCTGATAAATGATAAATATCAATCAAGAGATGTAAAAAATTAACGATAAGATTTAAAGCAACTATCAGAAATCGTATATAAACCTAAAAAAAATCAATAAGGCCTAATTCAAGTGTTATCACAGTAGCTACGTTAATTTGAAAAATAGTATTTCTAAAAGGTTTAAGCTTATTAACGAGTTAACTTTGGTGTGTTAATGTTTTAAAATGCTATTTTAGGTAATAATAAATGCGTGATCGTATTATCATATTATTATTCTGCATTTATTTAAAATTCAAAAATATAAGATTACAAACAGTAGGCAAAGTCGGACAAGTATTTAGTTCAATCAAAAAAAGACTATTTTATGAATATGATTCATAAAAATATATCTGTTATATTTTTTTTAACAAAAACTATTGAATATAAAAAACACAACTTCACTGAAATGGTGACCCCTCCAAGAGAAGAATATTTTTCTAACAACTGTTCATACATAAATAGTGCCTGTGTTACTTTAATTAATTTAATTAATAAATCATCGAAAAATTAAATTCAGAAGACAAATATTGTAATCCTTTCTAAATGTTCACAGTATTTAAAGTGTTTCAGAGTAAAAAAATAAAAAAATTTAATATTTACAAAAAACAATATATGTTAAGTTTTAAATATTTTTTTTTTATCTTTAATATAATAATAACCGTATATAACAACATATTACAGAACAATAGGTCATATATGATAATTCATCGAAATCAATATTAACACAGTGTTTAAAATATTAAGTGACAAACTATCCCTTCTGTTTAACAGGATTCTGTAATAATTATGGAAGTATGATGATCAACTGCCATAAATTTAATAATAACACGTATATAATAAAATATTGAAGAAATATTCTTATTGCAATATTGTATGTTTAATTCTAAAATTTGGTTTTGGTAACATTTTTTTAATAATATTGCATATATTTTGACAAAATGGATTTTTACCCAAGACATTTTATCCAGAACGCAGACGTTTTATGTCCTTTTGAATTCAGTTTAAACGTTGACGAGTTCATATCCATAAAAGGTATGGATACAGATATCAACAAAATTAATGTCAAAATACTCTAGAAAATGTTTATATTTCATTTGCATATAACGTAATCGATCCAAGAGCAATCCAGGAATCCACAAATGATACCCACGTGTACCGTCCTTTTCACGGTTCTATTTAATCATCATTTCTATTTATTATCGGCGGTTACCGTTATCGGAATCCGAATGTACATAAAATAAAACGAGCCATTTTTATTTGACATTAGGACGTTTATCGTTGAATCATTATAACAGGAGAAATGTCAATAAAAAAAAAATAATATTAAGATGTATTATTATACTATTATGTAAGTTTTTTTTTTTATCGATACTATTTCTCGAATATAAATATGACTGGTAGCCGGATAACGAGACTTCAAGACAGTTAATAATATTATAAATAAACGAGAAAGTCCAAAGTCTATAGAACATAAGTACATTGCGAAAATAATTTTAGAAAATATTCATGATTGAGATATATATTTTATACTCCTAATCAAATTCATCAAATTCTATAATTTCTCTTACAAATTACAAGAATACATTTATATCCATTTATAGTTAAATTGCTGCCTGTTTACGAAACTACCTAAACACAGAAACGCGTACACACATATATAAATAGTTGAGTGAAATCATAACGAACTGATTAGTGATGACGTCATTATCGACGATTAGTACTATTTTTTTAAAAATTAATATATTTGAATTACAAATGAACAAAAACTATGTAAACATAATTTTCAGTACGAAATTTATGATCGTCACGGAACACGACAAACCGATATTGTATAAATAACCCCTTGAATTGTCGTCAGAATACGATTCCTTTCTTAAAAACTCTTAAATATTAAATGTCTTTGATCAATGTCAAAACAAAGATTTTAATGTTACCTAATCATTTAAATCGCATGGTACGCATTAAATATAACTGTAATTGCTAAAATCTATAATACATAATATCTGTGGCTCCACCATAAATACCTATTGGTAATAATGACATCGTGATAAACGACACATACACGTTATTAATTCTTAAATAGAGAATACGTTTTTGTTTTTATTAAGTACTGGTATATTTAGAAAATGTAAAAAACTTACACGGAATTGATAATTTCGAGAGAAAATACCACATTTTATCAACTTAATGCTTATTTAATAAAAGAAAATCCTACTGAAGCTAAAATATATATTTCTCATGAATATAATGAAATGTAATTATTTATTTTATGTTATATTTAAAATTATAATAAATGAAATTATATTTTATTAGAAAAACATATTAATACTTAAATAATTGTACAACGGCAGTTATTGAGTTGTAATAAACACATTTTAACAGAAATTATCTTGTGTAAAAATATTCGGAAAATTTTTGTTTATTCATAAATCAATCAAAGAGAATGTTAAAATTGTATACAACTATCGCGGTATGAAAACAATATTTTATTATTATTTTTACAGTTGATAAAAAATGTACAATGATTAAATAAGATAAGAACCCGAAGCTATACAATGTGCTTGAAAAGTGAAAAATAAAATTAATTAAAAGACGAATTTCGATAAAAAAAATAATTTGTATACGTTAATAATATCAAGATTGGAATAAACGTTAACAAAAATATTTCAAATTGGTTTGTTGCTCATACATTATAACACATTAATTAAATACAACATACTTTTAAATATTAGAAATAATTATTTTATATTTTGGTTAAAATAATAAATTAAATGTACAATTAGTCTAGTAATTCTTTAAAAAATGTATTTATGTATATAAAATATAGACTGCAATTTTTAATACTTACAATAAACGGTAATATAAACAATATATTTGGTAACAAAAAACAACAAATATTATAAAATTTTTACAAATATTACTAACTACAAGAACAACGTAAAGATCACGACTGATGACTGATTACTGATTAGGAGTCTAAGAAATTAGTTATCTTTAGTCCCTTGGTACGCCACCTGTAGCGCACTCTACGGCGGGTTTACGTTAGCCATAACTCGACTACATTCGGAACGGTTCGGAAATCGTCGGCTTATGTATGGTAATTTCTTTATTATATTTCTTATTTGCATATTTTTTTAGAGTTTTTTTTAAATTGTATTTTATTTACTTAACACTTAAAATGATAGAAAAAATATGTCATCAAGTTTTAATATTAAGCAATTTTTTACACTGTTCACCAATCATCGAATTTATAAGTGTATGAACTAAACAAATAATACAATATAATACACATGCGTAAGCATATAAAATACTTATAAGAAGCAATAGAAATCGATTGCTTTTTTTTATTTTAAAAGAAATCTTCTATAATAGTTTAATAAAAATTCCTTTGTAATTTTAAAAACAACTCATTTAAATAAAAGTGACTGCATTTATTTGTTTACTTGCACTAACTTGCGTAATAAAATAATATCAATATTTCTAGTTAATAAAATATAGTTTTTAAAAAT